ATGCCCTTCAATTTGCCTTTCTGCCTCCTTCGACTGGGGGCTGGAATCAGTGTAGGTGTACCTTTCGTCTGGACCTGGAAGTCATCATGGTGTGCCTTCTGACTGCCTCTTTCGTTTTGACCTAGAGGTTAGTTTGGAAGCCAAAGGCTTTGTTTCCTACTTCCAGTTTCCTGTTTCTTTCGTTTGAACTCTTGAATAGCAATATGGCCTAAGGCCATGCTAGCATTACCTTATGGTCAGGTTAGTACTTAAAGCACGTTTAGGTAAACAAGAAGCCAAAACAAAAGAATTAGCTCTGAAAACATATTAAAAGGGTGAAAACGAAAAGAAGAACAATGGTATGTACATGTTTGAAACGAAAAGAAAGTTTATTTACATGTTATGCAAGAAACAAAAAGTTCAAGGTTTAGAGTAACTTACCTTGATTGAGGCTGGAGCGTGTGCTGGACTTTGAGTGGTTTCCTTGAGTGTCCATGGATTCAAAGGGAAGGAGCGAAGGTAGCGTTTCTACTACTGGATTCGAAAGAGAAGAACAAGTGAGATGTCTTTCTTACTGGATTCGAAGGGTAACAAGGTGTGAGGGTGTTTCAGATTCGAAGGGACCAAATGTTTGGATTCTGGGTTTGTGTTTGATGAGTGTTTAAGTGTTTGGGAGTTTGATGATGTTTGAGAAATTTTTGAAGATTCATTCTTCTGGCCCCAAAAAGTCCTCCTAAACATATTGTGGGGCCTCTTATTTATAGGCAAAGCTGGCTGAAGCTTTTGGAGGGAAAACAAAATAATTTGAACAATTTGAGTAACCTGCTCTTTGTAGCTTTCGAGGGATAGTGCCTTGTATGCTATTTTGGTGCAAGAATGAGGCAGTGTTTTAGGACTGCTCTGCAGCAGTTTTGGCCAGTGTACCAGGCCTGAACTTGGCAGCAAGCATCTTTGAATATTTCAACTTTTCGTTTTGACCCTTCTTCGACCAGATTCTTCTCCCAACAATATTTTTTGATTTTCCTCCAACAAGTGTCCTTCGAATGGACTACTTTTGTGCATCCTTCGAAGGAGCCAAATGTGTGACCCTTGGATGGGTCACCTAAACATGCCTTAAGGTGGGATTTGTAAATCCTTCAAATGGGCCATGAAGCATGTCCTTCGAATGGGATTCCCAGAGTTGGGTTCGAAAGATGCTGGTTCGAAGGGAATCAAAGTTATAATCAAAACCTTGTGAAGGTGGTTCTGTCCAGTCGAAGGCTTGCCTATCAAAGGTCCATGTGGCCAAATGAAAGAGTGTACGTAGGGGGTCCCTGCTTTGTGACTTCATGAAAACATGCAAAAGATCTTTGTTCAAACGAAGGCTTGCATGAAGGGAACCACATGCCTAAACGAAAGGTGTGACCAAAAGCTTGTACTGAAGGATTCATACGCCCAAATGAAGAAAGCATGAAGGGAGTCAAATTCCCAAACGAAGCTTGCAAAAAAGGGCCACATGCCCAAACAAAAGAGGCATGCTTGCAAAGATGCCCAAACGAAAGAGGCATGCAGGAAGAAAATTTGAGCAATCGAAGGATGCCAAAAGGAGGCTTTGTGCCTTGTGCATGCTAGCATGGGGGAAGTCTTTTGTGCACAAGAAAGAAGTTATGGCTCAAACGAAGGCTTGTACGCATCTAGTCATCAACTTGTGAATCAAAACAAATATGGGGGAATATTTGTTCAGTTAACACAGGCATGCAAGCATCAAACATCCAATCGAAACAGGCACATAGACAACCATTTCATTATGAACCATGTGAGGCCAAAGATGCAATCGAAGGTTGCATGCAGGAAACGTCTGCCTTGTGAGATAAAACCAACGTGCCAGAGGCCCATGCCCAGTCGAAGGATGTAAGCCAAGCTTGCATTGAAAGAGGCCAAAAGGCCAATCGTAAGAGCTGAATCGAAAGACTTGTTTTTCTCCAATTTTGTCAAAAAGATTATTTTTATTTGTTTTCCTCTTTTTTGACAGTTTCCTTTTTTAACTTGGTACTGGAAGATCCTAATGTAATTGTGCAAGCTTGAACCTTGATAATCCTTGTGAGAAATGCCTTGAAAAATGAGAGGGCAAAATTTGGGGTACAACAGTAGGGAAAATAAAGTTGTACTCACTTGGGCCCTACCCCAATGTCTACATATACTTTTTGAGGAATCAGAGCTACCGTAGTTCAGCTCACATGTTTTTTTTGTTTTGTGTTTTTTATGAACAATGTTAATTCTGCCTTCTGTCGCTGCTCGACCTTTGGAGACTTATGCGTTGGCACAAAAGTAAATTTATCATGTCCTTACTTGAAAAAGGTTTTGAGTTACGCCCTCAAGGCAAGATGCCACGTTTGATTGGTTTGTTTTTTTGTTGCATATAATGACTATTTGACCCCAAGAGAGAGATATTAGCCATTTTTCCACTTGTCCATGAAAGGAGTCTTTGAGATTTGAACCATATTTAGGCCTGAGATGGAAGAACAATAAGATCGAGAAGAGACCCTCTTATCATCTTCCATACTCAACAAAGGTATGATTCTCATCAGTAATTTTAAAGTGTTTTGAAGTTTGAAAGGAAAAATAAATTTTTGTTTTAATGCAAATGCAAAAGGGGAAAGAAAAGTCAAAGAGAGACTAGCCTATTTCTAAGCCTGATGTTATTATGCATCATGGACCTAAAGTTGGGATTTCTAGGGAATTCTACCTAATGTTTGCATGCTTGGATTTAAAAGCCTAATGTCTAATTTTAGTTCAATTAAATCGAAAATTAAATTTCAACCAAAATCTCCTAAGGAATCATGAAGGAATATACAAACAAGTAAAATTATGCGGCAAGTATTAAAGTATTGCATATAATCCATACAAAAAATTGCAAACGAAATACATGACATAAAATGAGTAAAACTAGTGATTAAAATTGAGTAAAAAGTTAGCAAAGGGGGAAAATAAATTCCTAATTAATTTCTAAAATGTCTTCTAATATTTTTACCATTTTCATTATGTATTTTTATTATTAAAAAAATCATGAAAGAAAGAATTACAAATAATTATAAAAAGGAAAATAAGAGAATCAGGGGGTGCTAACTGGAATCTGATGATGTGATGCAGAAGCAAGTGAATAAGCCCAAATTGAACCCAATCCAATGATAGCCTTTTGTGCACAACCTTTGTGCCATGCCAAAAATTCTATGGGCCTATGGGTGCATTTCGGTCCAGTCAACATGACACCAAGTCCAACGTTCATCTTATTTTCCAGTCCACCATCCTTTATTCAGCTCATTACAAAAACAAGTAATAGTTAAAAAGGAATAAAACTGAAAGTTGAAAGGGGTTAGGGATATTATGAGTGAAGATTAAATTTCTTATGCACACAATTCTTTATTCTCCTCTTTGAACGGTGATCCCGACCTCACTCTTGAACGACAATCTCACCCTCTATGACGGCTTCGATTTCTCTATCTCGTTCGCTCAAATCTCTATCTTAGCTCCGCTTCCAAATGTATCTTCATCTCTTTTCATCTAAACCAACATTTCATTCCATTGATCTACGCTCAAACGCAAACCCTAGCGAAGCCGCAACATAAATTTTATGATGGAATCACATTCAACGACGCGATTGGGAGAGATCCTAGGCTCAGCATACCAAGAACCGCGTCTCAACACCATGAACGGATGAAAAGAAGAGCGTTAGACAACTAATCTCAATAGATTTGGAGATGTGAAGATGATTCTCGGTGACGACAAATTCAAAGGTATCACAACTCTTCTTTCTTACTTTTCTTTTCATATCTTCTTCTTCTATGAGTTCCGTGTGCGTTTCTGTATCTTGCGGATTGACGAGGCAAAATTAACGGTGATGCAAATTGATAATGACTGAGGTTGTGTGAGGTTGAAAAGATGATTGAAGGTTGTGGAGAAGATGACCAGAAACGTTGATGGAGTGTGAGTTGCGGTTGAAGATTGAAGATGATAGTCGATGTTGCGTTGGAGCAGATGAAGGTGAAGGTGGTGATTGAAGAGGATGCCGAGATGCGTGAAGAAGATGGTTCGTGAAGACTGATATCACATAGCGAATGAGACTGAAGAAGATGAAGTGCCGAGAGAAAGAGAGAGAGGGTTGATATATTTATGTGAGTCTTTTTCTTTTTCTGAACTTTGTCAAGACTGGGTGAATCTCCTCTTCTTCTGTTATGTGTCTGTTATATCTCTCTATTCTTCTATTGAAAGTTTGTTAGCTCCTCTGTTATTCTGTTGAGAAGTTGTTATATGAATAAGCTGTTAGTTATGGGCTAGTAGAGAGGAGGTTAGTTAGAGGGTTGTTGGTTTCTTGTTAATTCTGTTTAGAAATAGTTAGAAGATTTGTTGGAAGTTGGGATTCATTTTTTTTTTTTGTTCTGGTTGGAAACTGTTATAGGTGGTTGGTTAGTGAGGTTAGAAGTTATTTGGGGATTTCTGTTTTAATAAGCTGGAAGGTTATGTTTTACTTTTCTGTTAAGTTTGTTACGGACTGTTACAGGAAGTTTGAGTTAGTTTTGGCTGTTAATTGGTTATAGGTTGGTTAATTGAAATAGAGGTTGGTTACAGTTTTTTGGTTCCGTTAGAGGGTTATTGAAACTCTGTTAGAAACATTCAAGAGATTATGAAAATTTTGTTATTTCTATTATAGGTAGTTATAGGAGTTAATTGTAAAATGGCTTTATGTAATGTCTGTTTCCGTTTGGACTTGCTTGGATTAAGTGCGTGAATGGTTTTGGATTTGTTGAACTGATTTTGATGTAAAGTGGTATGGACCTGTTTTTAACAATGCAGGATCATGGCTTCTGTTTTTTTGGATGAATGATTATATGCAAATTTTTCGTCACAAGCTTTTGTGAATTGATTTGGTGAACTGGTTTCTTGAACAAAATGCAGAGCTTCCCATTTATTTGAATAAAAATCGGGTTTGATTTTGTGGTATTAGGGAAGGGATAGAGAATGGAATGTCCAAGGCATATGCATTGCTAGCTTGTAAAGTGAGCAAGGGTTGAAGATACAATAGCATGAAGATTGAAGATGAACGACATTAGTTTAGGACGCATAGGTTTAGGATAGTGTTTTTTTTGTGAAATTTGTAATGCATCCTGTTGATGTAATGTAATAGTGTCAAATGATGTAATAGTAACCAAACTTGTATTTATGTGATTTTGTAATATTTGGAACTTGGATGAATTTTAATGAGATCTTGGTATTTGCTTTTTGATATGTTATGTTCTTTCGAAACTTGAATTCAAAAACTCTATTAGAAGCTTGCATCAATTTTACACGCCAAGCTTGCAATTTTAAGAGACTTCAATCTCCATGTTCCAATCTCAAATTCCCACTAACTTGCCTTTGAAACAAACTCTTAGTTGAAGAATAATGCACAAAACTTTGAGTTTGAGTTACTTGGACTTTGAATCAAACTTAACCTTTTAATTATCCCTTGAACATATCATTGCGCTTTGATTATCCCAAAATAACTGAATGATCATTGTTATAAGAACTTTAACCCTTAGGTCAGAATCTTAATCCTTCATGATAAGCATTGAGTCTATGGCTTAATGTAATTCGGAATGAACTCAAAAGAATCTCGTAACATAAGTAAACCAAGCATTCAGGTAAAATATCTTACATTAAGATATCCACAAACCCTAATTTGCCATGGATGGGATCCTCTGAAGATATCGTTTCCTTGTGTTTCATATTGAAACTTATTGAACCAAAGACCCTAGAATACCATAAGTACACTAAGATCTCTCCATGTCTTGTGCTTTTTGAATCATGAGTTGAATCCTTTAGAATGTAAGACTTAACTGATGAACAACTCTTAGTGCAACCCTTCCTTAAAGTCCACATGCTTCGGAAAACAAAGCCTAATCGAGTGGTGATGATGACATACATAGGAAGATGCTAAATACCTGAACTGGTAACCCTTATACGACCTTATAGGACGACTTACGTGGTAAGCAATCACAACCACATTATATGTTGAAGAACGCAACAAGAATATTGAGGAAGTGAAGCTCCAAAGGGTGTGAGCAAGCCTTGCAGTTTGATGTTAGGAAGAGGAGAATAACCTCATAGCTTAGTGATATAGAAATCCATGAATTAAAACCCTAGCTTCAAACAAAACCTAGTCGATGAAAGAACCAATTGATTTAAACCTGAGAGACGATAAGAGCTTAAAAGCATATAGAGACCCTAATTCCTCAATATCTTTGATCACATGCCATGTTTTATTAGTTAATGAATGAATGATGTGTTAGATGACCTAATGGGAGTCATGTACATGATAAAAATGTTAAATGAATAAGCCAGATAAAAGTGAAATGGTAGGACAAATTTGGGGTATTACAACCAAGAATGTTATGGCCCGGTTCATTAAGCATAACCTCATTTTTCGGTATGGCATATCCGAGTGGATCATCACTGATAATGGTACCAATCTAAACAACACTATGATCATGGAACTCTGTGCACAGTTCAAGAGTAAACATCATAATTCCTCTCTGTATCGGCCAAAGATGAATGGCGTAGTGGAAGCCGCCAACAAGAACATCAAGAAGATCTTGAAGAAGATGATGGTGACCTACAAAGATTGGCATGAGATGTTACTGTTTTCTCTTCATGGTTATCGCACTTCAGCATGCACATCAACTGGGGAAACCAAATTCTCTCTAGTATACGTTACAGAGGATGTCCTGCCTATCGGAGTCCTCGATTCTTTCGCTAAGGATTATGAAAGATGCAGGTTTAGATGAAGACAAAGGGATTCAAACCAGACTGGACTAGATAAATTTGATTAACGAGAAAAGGCTTGCGGCTGTTTTTCATTGTCATATGTATCAGAAGCACATGGTTAAGGCCTTTAACAAGAAAGTCAGGCCTCAAGTGTAACAAGTTGGTAATTTGGTTGTAAAGCGCATCATCTTACCACAAGGTGATCCCAGGGGCAAATGGACTCCCACATACGGAGGTCCATTTGTGATCAAGAAAATATTTTCTGGCGGGGCTATGATACTTACCATCATGGACGGTGAAGATCTTCCACACCCTGTGAACGTGGACATTGTTAAAAAATATTGCGCATGAAAGAGACTCACTAGGTTGACTGGCCTAGGAAAAAATAAGGGAATTCCGGCGAGCCAAAAGGTTTGGGAAAAAAATTAAGGATATATATAAAAAAATTGTACACCGGCAAGTCGAAAATCTGAAAAGGCGGCTTGGGCAAAAAAGGGTATCCCGGTGGACTGAAAACCCGAAAGGCGGTCCGGGAAAAAGTTAGGTATTAAAGCGTACAACTATGTCCCATTGGATCATCTACTTATAGCAAGCTTTGTTATCATCGTTAAGTTCAAATGGTACAACTCAATTCAATCAACTTCTTCTGACGGTAAGGGATGAGATGTTTGAAGACATAGAGGCAATGGCAGAGTTGAAACTTGATAGGATCATTTTCACATAGCTTTTTTTCTTGTTTATCACTTTGTATTTTTCAATTTCACAACTTCCTCTTACTAGGATTTTTGTCTCCTTGTGTAAAACTACCTGTTCATAGGCAAACTTTCAAAATCAATACAACTCAGTCTATTTAAAAATTCAAAACTGTTTGTTTTTACTTCCTCTGTTTTGTTTGCAAATACATCCAATGATTATATTGAATGAACATATGCATTTGAACAAGATTACCACTTACAAATATATGCATAAAAACAGGATTAGCATTTATCGAAGACTCTAGGAGTTGGGATAATGTTTAAGTCATTCATAAACCTCCACAGAGCAATCTTCATGGAACTATCTCTACAGAGCTATCTTCACAAGCTCATCCCCAACAGAGATATATTCCCCAACAAATCTAATACGCCCTCAGACATAAATTTGGGCATCTTATAGTAGTTCACTTCCATATCCCTAATGGATAGCTTGATCTGATCATCATCCCTAATAGACCCCCTAGCAGATAAGAAAGGTTGATCATTTCCCTAACATACAGTGGATACTTCTTCAACATGGACTATAAAATTTCAATCCCCAGCGAGTTTATTACTCCAAAGCTGTAAACCCCTAACAAAATTATCTTCTCCAGTAGGGTTTAGCCAAAGTTGCTTTCCCCAGAAGAGTTGCTACGGTATCTGAAACTTCGACAGATAGAACACCAAAGGAATATCCATCTTTTTTATCCCCAGTCAGGGTACGTAAGAATTAAATCCTTCAAAAAGTATGGAAAATGACCGACTCTCCTTGAATGCCTCTGTTCTCAAGCAGAAGCCGAAGATCCCCCGCGGAGTATCCTCAAACAGAAAGCGGGAATCCCAGCAAAATTATTCCCAGCGGAAATTGAGGAATCACTTTCTTCATTCCCAACAACAGTCCGGGATTTATTTTCCCCAGCTAGACATTGTTACAAGGAGCTACCAATACGCTTCAACAACATATTATGCCCATACATCATTTCATAATACATCATAGAATATGCATACCAAAACACATATAACATTCTCATTTATCTTGAGAGCATCATTAATGCATTACATAAAGATAATTTTACCTTTTTAGGTAAAGTTCACAAATAGATAAATATCATCAACAATTTTCAAATAGGTCAAAGATTAATTCCTGAAACAAGATAGGGTAACTATCTATAGGACCAGGCGGTATGAATTCTTGAAACAAGACAGGTTTACCAACAAAAACAGGTCACAAATTAATTCCCGAAACAGGACAGGGCAACTATCTATATGACTAAGCGGTATGAATTCCCTAAATAGGACGAGTTTACTAACAAAAGAAGCGGGTCGCAGATTAATTCTCGAAACAGGATGAGGCAGCTATCTATATGACCAAGCGGTATGAATTCCTGAAACAGGACAGGTCTACAATAAAGAATAGATTGTAAGTAAATTCTCGAAACAAAACGGGGTGACTATCTACATGACCAAATGATTTCCCTCAGAGACTGAATTATGAAAAGCATCTCCCTTCAGAGACTGAATTCTGAAAAGCATCTCCTTCAGGGCCTTCGTTATGAAAAGCATTTTTCTTTGGAAATTCATTCCATCAGATCAAGTCGAGTATGGACTCATTTTGATACTCCTATCAACAGTTACTTTGGATGGCATCTTTAAGCCCAAACCCAGAGACATTCTATCATCTCTCTGAATGACATCTTTAAGCCCATTCAAGCAATACTATCAACCAATAACGTTACTTCATGCATTGGCGAGTGTAAATTTCTGGGCACATAAGTGTTCAACCCTCTTCCACCTTCAGATCACGAATGGCAGATATGCCAATATAACTCTTCAGGTTTAAGAAGATTGAACATGGGCAGATGTTGTACCCTAAAATTTTCCCTCCTATTTTCTTTAAGATATCTCCTCATGCTCCTAGGATTTTCAATTGCTCAAGACTACTCAAGGTTTGATCAGACAAATTTTCCTCCTAAGTAGTTGAGCTACAACTAGGGTTTCACGTTTCTCAAGGAAATTTGAGATTATAATTCCTAAAGTGGATTTCATGGGTCCTCATATGTCTCAGGGAATGCTCGTGCCAAATTTCAATCCTTGCATCACAAGTTTGCTCAGTCAATTGCTTAGATGACTGAAAATCAACTGTATTGGACAAAAAGTCAATTATGGTCAACATATAGTCAAACTTCAAGATTCCTAGTCAACATCAAGATATTGAAGTCACATTCATCATTTGATCAAGGGTTGATCATGATTCATCAAGAAAACTCTCAATTCATCAAAAGTCAAAGTTGCCAAATTAGGGTTTTCTTAAGGAGAAGTCAACTGAACTCTGACCAAGCATAACTTTCACATGCTTAATCAAAATTTTCTCAACCAAAGTTTATTTTGAAGGAAATTCAATTCTCTACAACTTTGTCTCTCTAAGCTCAAGTCCAAAAAATGTTTCCTTTGAGAGATATTGGCCAAAACATTATGGGTCGTTTTAAAAGTCAACAAAAAGACACTTTTTGTCAAGGCAACTTACATCAAGATAAAGTATTAAAATAAAAAATGATCAACATAGAGATTGTAGGGAACATCTCGAGATTTCCAAAAAGTCAAAGATCACCTTCATATGATGAAAATTGAGAGAGTTATGATTGGTGCAAGTTGGGAAATTTTGAGAAAATGCATGAAACCCAAATTGATCAAATTCGAATTTTTGGGATA